AGGATCTGTCGGGTACAGTAACACCCCAACGGTCTAGTGCAACACCGCCACCTCTCGCATCGCCGCAAGCCTGCCAGGCACAGTTACGCCCAGGCCTTAAAGCATCGCCACCGCCACCCCGCCAGTCGCATCGCAATCATCACCCACCACCCCTGCACCCGCTCCCAGTTTGCCAGGCCAAGTAGAGTGCCCAAACCACGAGTAACAATGCCCACGTGCGCCACTAAGCACCACCACGCCCACCGGCACCACCCTCTCCCCCTGGACACCCCATCCCCTGAGCATTGCCTGCTGCGCGCCGCCCCAGAAAGTACATCACCACCTGTCAACCACACAAACCACCCGTCGTAAGCACACCCCCTGGCCCAATCAGCGGCCTGGAACCAAGGAAGGGGGTCAGCAAAGCGCCCAATTTTTTTCGGGCACCGTCGCACCTCCCCAGCCGCCGCTCCCAGGGCCCTGGTGCCTTCGCCGATCTTGACCGCCATCTTGGCTACATCGGCTCAGGCATTAGATGCAAACCCGGGACGTGTTTGCAAAGGAAGGGGGTAAGGAACGGTATTGAACCTAAGCGAGGATATCGAGTAAAGTAAGGTGAAAGTGAAGCGAAACTAGCTAGGCTCCGTACGCCGACGCGAAGTAAGCTGAACTAAGCCAAGCTGAACAAGATAAGCAAGCGGAGCGAGCTTCACAGAGGCGAAGCTCCAAGCTAAGCCAAAGCGAAGTAAGCAAAGCAAGCGCTCCGAGCTAACCTCACCCCCCTGGTTGGAGTACAAATAGGGGTCAAATTTTTTCGGGCCTCGTAACCATTCGCGGACGAATGGGTTTAGGAAGGGGGTATTGTCGTGGAGTCGCCAGCACCTCCCCTCCTAGGCTCTGCCTACGCCCACCAGAACTCGGCCCAGACGCCACAGCACCCTCGCAGCACCTCAGCATCCGCCTCCCTCCCCTTAGAGCGCCTCACACAAGCGCCTCTTTCCATCATCAACCTCGCCGGTCCTCCCCTCCCTAGCGCCCTTACGGGCGCCCTGCCTCCCGGTATCACCGGGCTTCCATCATACTCCCTACGTCACCACAGTCATTACGATTACCATAGCACCCTGAAGGACGTCATAGGTATTAGTCTAGCTACAGGTCACCTGATCGTTGGTCACATGCTTCATACTCACCTTAGGTACCAAACACGTACAAATAGGTACCTGGTCTGTGCGCACCTGCTCCAGTATATAGGTAGAGTAGATCCTGCACCTGTTCCCCATCTCGACCTCTTAAGTCATTGGGGACAGGTAAGCACCTCTTGTACTAGATGGTCAAGTCAATATACTTAAGTCATTGGGGACAGCTTTGGCCTTCGTCGCCGGCCTCCTCCTTGGCCTCTTTCAGGCAAGTTCCCTGGCACGCCCCTGTTGCAACCCCAGACCTCTGTCGGGGTTCGCTGAAGGGTGCCTCTGCCCTGTAAGCCCCTCCCTCTCCTCTCTCGCCTCCTCCCATCGTCGTCCCCGCACGGACTCGGCGTGGGCCAGCACCACCTCCGTAAGCAGGTCGGTCCGCTGTCGTCCCTCGTCCCGGGCCTCCGCGACATTAGGTCGAGATCCTCACCGGCCCCTCCGTCCTCCTCGGACTGAGCCGGTCCCGCCTTCACCCGCCTTGCCCAGACCGCTGGCTTGGCACCACGCGCACCGCCACCGACCCCCCCTTAGTAAGCAGTTCTTGTAAAGTAAGCCTCGTATAGTCGCGTAGAGTACCCGCCGGTCCGGTGGCGCCCAAGAGACGGGCTAGGTCACACCGAGATAGCGGTCGGGGCTCAACCCCTGGCTGGACCCGTTGAGCTGAAAGGGGGTGACCCCTGAAGCGATTAGGTCCTTGCACGCCTAGACCACTGGCTTATAAACCAGGGGAACCTTCTAGGGTGTATAAGCTTGATTGGTCCCTCGCAAGAGGTGGGAAACCTAGTCTGAATCGAAGGAAGCCCCTGGAACGGTTGCCTGTCTGGCTCGTGCTTCAGGCAGGCACATAACACTGCAATAGGTCGAGGAGACTGAGCACGTGTTGGG